AGGTTATCTGAGGAGCTGTCTCACCCCTGTTATATCAGCCTGCCCCACTCGGTCTAGCAGAAGGGGCATGTTGCAGACCCCACCAGTCAAGGAATTCCGATTGGTGGGATCTAGGAAGAGGGTCTTTTCTGAGGTGGCCCCCACTCTGTGGAACAACCTATCTCCCAAGGTGTGGTGTGCCCCCACTCTCATGGCCTTCAGGAAAGGCGTGAAAGCCTGGCTATGCCAGAAGGCCTGGGGGCTGGATGGGGGTTCCCACCAGTGGAAGTGGCTTGTGAGGTAATTGACCATGCCCCCCCATCTTGAATTTTTTTAGTATTTATGTATAGGGTTGTTTTTAGTTGGATTTTAATTGATTAATTAATTTTAATTATTTATATGGTATTGTTTTTTAATGGCTTGGGTTTTTGGATTGATTAATTAATTTTAATTATTTATATGGTATTGTTTTTTAATGGCTTGGGTTTTTGGATTGATTAATTAATTTTAATTATTTATATGGTATTGTTTTTTAATGGCTTGGGTTTTTGGATTGATTAATTAATTTTAATTATTTATATGGTATTGTTTTTTAATGGCTTGGGTTTTTGGTTTTAATTGTGAGCCTCCCAGAGTCACCCATTGGGGGAGATGGGCGGCATACAAAATAAATAAATAAATAAATAAATAACCTCCAAAGTGATATACATTATGATGCAAACTCTAAAGCTTTTAAAGACCAACTGTTTTTGCATTATAGATGCTGCACACTTGTTTTTCCCACAAAAATAACAGTGAACATAATAGATTTAGTATACTTTTTTTTCCACTATAAAATATTCAGGTGGCTGCATTTCCCAACTCATGTCTTATGTACATTTTTTAATTTTAGCAACGTGAAGAACTTACCAAAAGGAAAGAAAAGCTTTCCAGAAAAAAGGAGAGAATAATCAAAGAGAGTGGCCTAGTTGTAGATAAAAACATCCATAATATCAGCGAAGAGATGGAGTCACTAGTGGCCAATATAGATTACATCAATGACAGTATTTCTGACTGCCAAGCAAATATCATGCAAATGGAAGAAGCAAAGGTAGGTCACCCCCACATATTTTTAAAAAGTTTTATGTTTAAATAGGTAATGGAATGATCTTTATAGGCCTTTTACTTCCTGTGAAATTAACTTTATGTAGGACTGGCTTTGAAAATATTGTGTCTAACCTGCTAATCAGCGCAAGGTATAGGAATCGTGTGATGATTGAACTGAACAATCTGGATTGATGGAGACAATTTAAGGTTTTGTTGTTGACTTTACAGCCTTAAAGGGCTTAAGATCTGATTGTCTGAGGAGCCATCTCTCCAACTATCAACTAATTCTGTAACTTAGATTAACAGGACAAGCTTTATAGAGATGCCCCCTCCACCAGGCCTTTTGCCTGTTGGTATGTGGGAGGGAGACATCACAGTGGCCCCCAGACCTTGGAATGCTGTTTCGGAAGCTCATTTGGCTTCCATTTTCCCAGTATTGGAAAAACTATAAAGACACATTACTTTCACCAACCTTAATTGATTTTTAATTCCATTGGTTTACCATGAGTGGCTGTACAAATCCAATAAAGAAAAAAAAATAACCGGTTTCATGCATTCTGTTGTTTACGTTTTGTATTGAAACGGGTGTAATTTTTCCTGATTGTAATTTATGCTGGTCTATGACTGAAGTAAAGATTTGATTTGATTTGTATTTTGTATGCAGATAGAACTAGCAGTTCAGTTGGACTGGTAATATTTTTTCTCTCTTTGAGGGACGTTTTTCATCTGTGAGAGCTGCGAGGCTGTAGTTGGAATTTTCCTTTACTTGATATTAAACTGTTCTTCAATGTATTTTGTATAATATATTCAATTCTGCATATTCTGATGCCTTGAGCAAAAAAAGATAATTAATTGCTTGAGTTGAAATTACAACTACTCATTTGATTAATACAGGTTCAACTTTACAAAACGTTTTTGTCTGATAATGTTTATTAATAAAATAAAATGCCAATTTCAAAAGTTCTTAATTTAGGTCTAATACAGTAACCCCTATATAGCATGCAGGTGAATTTCTGGTTGTTTTCTGTTGTTTGTACAGGAGGAAGGAGAAACTTTAGATGTCACAGCTGTTATTAACGCCTGTACTCTCACTGAAGCTCGCTATTTACTTGATCATTTCCTTACCATGGGCATTAATAAGGTAATCAACATAGTGAAAGGGTTTTACTGGAATTAATAAATGCTATTGAAACTATTGTTTGACTAGGAGGGAGAGCATATATTTCTTTCACGTTTAGTCAGAGTATTCAGTGATTACAAAATCTCAGTTGACTTTTAGGTGAGCACCCATACATAACAAAAAGTACGCAGTAGCTGCCCCTACTGAGGCTTTTGAAAGGAAGTAAAAAAAGGCAATTTTGCATCTTTAATAGGGTCTCCAGGCAGCTCAAAAAGAGGCACAGATCAAAGTTCTTGAAGGACGCCTTAAGCAAACGGAAATTACCAGCGCTACCCAGAACCAACTCTTATTTCACATGTTGAAAGAGAAAGCAGAATTAAATCCTGAACTAGATGCTCTCCTGGGCCATGCGTTACAAGGTACCTTGAATGTTCTACAAAATGGAATTACAGTGCCTGCTTGGTTTGCTTCTGGAGCATGGTGTATGGAATGTGTTTCCATTAGTGTTTTACGAATAGATGCTATACTTAAATTATATGATAAAATACAGTTCAAAGTTTGTGCATGTGAAGGGGTTTGGTTCTTGTTGCAAATAACCTGTTCTGCATCAAGGAAATGCAAGGAAAAAAATTATGTAGTTAATTGGTCTTAGAGCATGAATTCAATTACCCAATAACTACAGAATTAAATGTTCTACAAATTGGAGTACTTAAAATAAAATGCTCAGTATTTAAATTTAGTTTCTCAGTGGAATTATAGAAAAGCTAGTTTTGTATAGTCTATGGCATCTATTCTGATAGTTCTGATAGCCTTAATCCATTGATACTGCAATGTAGGGCTCTGATTTCCCACTCTGCTAATGTATTGGTTTTGATTGGAGTGTTGATTTTTGTTTCCTCCTTGCTGTTGTTTTACACAGACCTAGATAGCATACCATTGGGTAAGTATGTATAGCTTTTTGTGTACTGCACAGCTGCATGAGATACTAATAATTATATGTGTACACTAACTGGCGCATCATAAAATGTGAATGTCCATAAAGTTTGCATGTACTATTTGGGAAATGTACATTGGCATCATGATGTCATCACACAAATAAAGCAAATGATAATTTATTTGTTCTCCCTTGCTCCCTTCTTGCAGACACCTATGCAAATATGCTTATTATTATACACATACATAATTGTTTTTATTTAGGGGTTTCTTTTGTTACCAAAAATTACTAGTTGGATGATAACTGCAACCACAAGCATGAATACAACCATTGTGAATGTTCTTAAAAGCTTATGTTCTTGTTCATTTGGATGCTGTAGCTACTAGGCTGTCCCTGATAGAGTTGTGTCCTTACTATAATGCATATAACCATGTTTTAGCTGAAAACATAATTTTAACACATTTTTAGTAGCTCCTTTTTCTACTTTATGGGGAATTCAATGTTTAACTTGAAATGATTTGTAATAAATATGATGGGTGTTAAAGGATGCATAGGTGGACAAAGATATTATTCAGTGGTAGTATGTGCTATTTTATTAATGGGCCAAGAATGAATTTGAGTTGAAATGAGAAACGTTATTATATGCGTGGTGTCAGTCCATATAATATGTCCTTTTTTTCAACCTATAGTAAGCAAGAATACTATAAAGTTATTGCTCAGTTGCTAGCCATTATAACTGAATTGTACTAGCTATTATATTCAATATAGAGAGCCAGTTTGATGTAGTGGTTAAAGCACCAGGCTAGAAACCAGGAAACCATGAGTTCTAGTCCTGCTTTAGGCACAAAGCCAGCTGGGTGTCCTTGGGCCAGCCGCTCTTTCTCAGCTCTAGGAAGGAGGCAATGGCAAACTACTTCTGAAATCTTGCGAAGAAAACTTCAGGGACTTGTCCAGGGAGTCATCAGGAGTAAAGACTGACTCGAAGGCACCAGTATATATATTGGCTGGCTGGGGAATTCTGGGAGTTGAAGTCCACATATCTTAAAGTTGTCAAGGTTGCGAAACACTGATCTGGAGCACAGCAGGTTGTTTATTGTGCAATCTTTGAGCCAGACAAAACTGTGTGTGGGGGGGGGGAATTCTGGGAGTTGAAGTCCCCACATCTTAAAGTTGCCAAAGTTGAGAAACACTGCTCCAGATACTTTGGATTTCAGCTGCCATCAATCTTTGTTGGAATAGCTCATGGCAAAAGGTTCTGGGTGTTGTGGTTTAAAACATACGAAAGCTACCAATCTGCCTATCTTGACTTAAAAGTTCAAATGGGAAATGTTCCTCTACGTAAATGCCATTTTTAATGGACTTTCAAGCTATTTGCATGGAAGAGATGAAGGGTTCATAACCATTGATATTTAGCACTGTACCATGTGAATAAATGGACATGACAGTGACATCTCCTTCTAGGTTCATCACTTTTGATTAAAGGGATCTTGTTTAGCAGACTTCAGATGCACAGACCAGATCTTTTTATACGGTGTGCTTCCATGTGTGTGTAAAATCCCATTTCCCATTTTACACATGCATAAAATATGAAAAATAGCATAGTAAAATTCCATTCCCATTTTATACATGTGTACAATGTGCATATATAAAATCTTATTCAGAATTAACCAGGGCTGTGGAGTTGGCACATAAAACCTTCGACTCCTTTATTCATGGTACCTCCAACTCTGACTCCTTTAATTATAGATCGATATATGAAATAAATTATAAATATACTAATTATATATTTCCTATATCTACTGCAAGCATGTAACATATGAGGCATTAAAATTAAAATATATCCTGAAAAAATAGGTTAATCAAATTATTATCTATGAAATAGGAAATTTTAACATATTATTTATATTATATACAATTTAAATTTATTAAGAGTAGGAGTCGGTACATTTTTACTGACTCTGACTCCAGTAACCCAAGAACTGTTTCCGACTCCATCAACTCTGGACTGCTAGGAGGTCACACCAGTCAATCTTAAAGGAAATCAACCCTGACTGCTCATTG